CTTAACGTAGCATTAAAATATTTACCTAGTTCAAGTCTGAAATTTTTCGTATGTTTGAGTATGATAGCGTTATGATCTTAATTTATGATTAATATGAAATGAATATAATAATAAATGAAAAAAAGAGCTCGTGTTTAAAATTTTAACTATATTTTTTTGTGTTGTTAGTTTGTAATTATGAGACAATTATATGCATTTTAGTGTTTTTACACTTTAAAATAACATTCTGAAAATTTTTTTAACATTATAGGAGGATATATTGAATGTTTTAGAAGAATTGAAATGTTATATAAGTTTAGAAATGCTTCCTTTGTAAAATATGCCTGTACTAGTGCCAGTTAATTGTAAATTATTACGCGAGGAAAATTTGTTTTAAAAAAATTCTTATGTTTTTTAAAATTAAAGATTTTTATAATAAGATTTTAATAAAAAGGATTTTAATAATCTTTATAAAATAAAAGATTTTTTATGAGTTGGAGTTTTTAGAATAAAATTATTAATTATTTGAAATATGGAAGAAAATTTTTTTCAGATATTTTTATGGGAACATTCTTTCTTTATAATCATTGTATTTACTTAAGTTTTATGGAAAGAACCATTATAAGTGTGTTTATCTGCTTAAAGTACAATGTTGTCTGCAAAATTCATTTACGCTTGTACTTGTACAACTTTTTTTCTGCAAGGCTAATTAAATATACTAATTGATTATTATTCATTTTTTAAGACACAAACTTTGTAAAGCATTTTGCTTAAAAGAGTAGTAAAGTTTAAAATGTTGTTTTGTTGTATTTTTCCATAGTCACTGCCCTTATTACTGATTTTAAAAAAAATTGTCAAAAGTGAAGAAAAAAGATTAGTGGTTTAACATTATTATTTGAGCGAGGAATAAAGAAAACAGATCAAAATCTGTCAAATCAAAAGCAGAGAAGAATTGAGGAAAAACATCAAAACCAGTTTGATTGTCTGATTAAACTTAGGTCTTTTTGAATCGCCTTTAAACTCTTCTCTGTTTCCAATGTCAATCAAACATGTTTCGATATTTTCAGTACCATTTTTCTCAATACCGATTCGATTCGATAGATTTTTTCTCCCTCACAAAAATATTAGTTTGCTACAACTAATGTATATACTATTTTCTCTCATTTTTAACAAGAATTCTAAAGAATATGTATAAAGAATGATAGTTATGGAATAATCTGTGTGTCAAATAATAATGTTAATAGTAATTTGTTGATTAATTATGCAGGGCTTTCCTCCTTAGTTACCGCTCCTAATATACATTTTTAAAATTTCTGCCAAAATTGAAGTAAAGAAAATAATCAATTAGTGATAGCAAATTAATATTTTAGTGAAGAAAGAAGCAAAAACCCAATCAAAGTCAAGCGAATCACTATAAAAAGGAAAGAGAAGCTAAACGTATCCAAACCCGTTTGATTGCCGATGGAAACGGAGAGGAGGTGGCTTTGTTATTTTTTCTTCTTCTTTCGCTAGAAATTCGACGAAGTTTGACAGTTTTGAAGCATTTCTTTATTCTCTAAATATTAATTTACATCTCCCAATTAGTTAAGTTTTTTTTTTCTCCTTCACTTTTGACAAGGTCACTAAATGGTTCTATATTAAGGGGTGAGTGTAAGCACCTTATTGAATTTTTTTAAAATAAATAAATATATAATGTTTATGAAGGTTTATTGAAACAGAAGTTCGTATCCAGTCTCTGGCGCAACTCTGGGAGATGGCAGAAGAGCGCAACCTTATGATATTGAACAGATTTGTCAAACACTTGAATTTATTTGTTGCGTATTGTGTTACTTGAATTTATGACTCTTATAATAATTACAGCTTAATTGTTGTATCCTGAAGTTCAAATAAATTTAACTTCGATTTTTAATGTCTTTTATATTAATTTATATATTTCAAGAAAGATGACACTAAATTATTAGTAAAATATTATAGTTTTTAAGAATATTATAATTTTTAATAATGTAATAATAATCATCAAAAATCGACAGAAATCTGTAATAAGCCTCCTAAAAAGTTTTATAAAAAAAGTGACATTGAAAAATTAAGACATTTATTTATACAAACATATCAAAATAAAACGCTATGCATAGCATGTTTTCTTACTAATACGGATTAAGGAGTAATTTATTTCGTTAAATTATTTTAATTTAGTCAAGTTTAATATTTAATATATAATTATTAGGCAAATGAAGAATATTTCGTTATCATTTCTTATAATCCTACATCCTTGTTTGATTAAATAATAAATTCATAAGTAATACTAGTTAACAAAAAATTTAATTAAGGAAATAAATTATAAAAACCTACTTTTGTACTATAACCTATTAATTTAAAGCTGTAAAATGTCACCTCAAATACTATTTATATGGAATCAAAAATTCTGACTAACATCATTTTTACAAATGTTCTCTTTTTAAGAAGAAAAATCTGGGGGTGGGTAAAAATCCACTTGTTTTCCTTGTTTTTTTAGTCAAATTTTTTTAGCCAATTTAGCCGATATACTTTCAGTTTCTGCGTAATAAATAAAACTAATTTTTTCTAGATATTCATAATTTTTTGTTTTGTTGTTAATCTCTCTTTTCTTTACTTCCTTTTTGTTTCTTTATTGTTCATATATATAAATAAAATATTGCAAGAAACGTTTTGAATAATATACCTTGCCAACAAATAAATATTTTTTAAACAATAAACTTTGCGTCAATTACTGTAAAAGTGAGATTTTTTCCGACATTTTGAACTTTTGATACAACAAACGACGTATATCCATGAATAATTTATACTTTTTATTAAAAAAAAAATTATTAGATAATTGAAACGTTAAACCTGTAACTTCTATATTCACATCATATCCGACATTTTGAACTTTTGATACAACAAACGACGTATATCCATGAATCATTTATACTTTTTATTAAAAAAAAAATTATTAGATAATTGAAACGTTAAACCTGTAACTTCTATATTCAAATCATATCGTTTAATCTTTTTATTCAGTTTTAAAAAAAAATTTTTTTTTCCTTTTTAAACGTTGTAAAATATTTATCCCTAGCACAGTTTGATTTCCAAAAGTAATCATTTATCTCTATGTCCCTCTTTTCGTAATAAGAATGAAATTTTGTAACATAAATAGGGCAGCTAATATTGAGGTGTAGTAAGGAGGGTTGCGTGTGGGACGCAACCCTATCCTTACTACGCGTGTGGGGTTTTTGCTTAAAATAAATTTTGTTTTTAATTCCCGACTCTTCAACCAATTGGAGTAATTTTTAACATCATACATTTATGCCTGGGAATTATCCTAGTCATCATGATTTTTGGTGTTGTATATTTACAGCACCATAAGTAAACAATTACTTAAATTTTCGACGCCATATTTCAGTTCTCAGGGGATATTTCCGTATCGTGATCTGTCGCGCCAACTACAATCGCCAAGGTGCCAAATAGATTTCAAACTTGCANAAAAAAAAAACTTGTAGATGTTTGTCCGCCCGGGGGTGAATACGAGTTACACTTTTCGAGTTGGTCCCTTTCTGTGATGTTTTTTTTTTTAAGTTTCTCGCGGGCCACTGCCCGGAAGTTTCTAAGACTTGGCGATAGTTCTGCCACAGATCACGATACGGAAATATCCCTCATTTACACACTTTTTGGTATGATGTACTATAAACATCAAAAATTGTATATTTACAACAAACACCAAACATAAACAAGTTACTTATATTTTCCGCGCAAAATTTCTTGCTCACTGAATGTTTTTTTTTCTAATTATCGTTTTTAATATTTTGAGAAACTAATACAATGACTAATATGAATCAGTAATTAAATTGCACACTAAAACCACATATTTTTTAATAATTAGTGTTTTTTAAATTACGTTAAAATGCTAGGTAAAAAAATTTATTAAAATATTTGGTAAATGAAGTGATGAAGCGTATTTTAGAATTTTTAATGCTTTTATTTTATTTGATAAAAAAAATGCAATTAAATTTTCAATGATTAGATTATAGATAATCTACGAAAAGTGGTAATTTTATGTCACATTATGATTTGGCAAAAAAACAAGCGAAGTGCGGCCACATTTTAAATTTGTGTAATATTACCTGCAAGTTTCATTTGTTTCTCTAATTTTCTTAGGAAAAAATGTTCACGTTTTAAAGAAACAAAATTTAAATCTCTTTAATATATTTTTCTGTTAGAAGAGATTGAAAAGTTTTTGTTTCGATTGAAAGTTTTCGATTTTGTTTGAAGTTTTAGGAAAAAATTTTCAAGTTAGTTATAATGAAACAGAATTTTATATCTCAATAATGTATTTTTCTGTTAGAAGAGATTGAAAGTTTCCAATTTTTTTTTTCCATTCAAAATTACAAATTTTACTGGAATTCTTTGATTTTGAGGAATGCATTCATCCTAAAGTTCATGAAATCGTATTTATTAGAAGAAAATTTTTTACTATTCTTCTGAATTCTTTCATTCTCAGGAATGCATTCATCCTAAAGTTCATAAAATCGTATTGATTAGAAGGAAGGAAAAAAAAGAAAAAACCACTTTTTACCTTTTAGAAAATCATACATATTTATTCAGGGAAAACTTTAAATTTTAACTAATTTCAATCTGATAAATCAATTCAAATTGAAAGTATTTTTTTCTTTTTCTTGAACTTTAAACTTCACCAAAAGAAGAAAAAAAAAACCCGCTGAAATGTTATGTTTTAGGAGGAAAATTGCAATATTAAAAACAAAACAGAGGAAAATAAAATCTTTCAAGAATTTATTTTTATCATACACTTTTTATTCTCCTAAAACTTGGAAATTTAGGGAGCCTCTTCACCCATTTCAACCCAATGAATATTTTCAACCTTAAACTTTTTTTTAACACTTTTAACTTATCAACAAAAAAAAAATTAAATTTAGCGAAACAAAACGTTTTATAATTGAAATAACGAACGCAAATGAATTAAAAATTTATAATTAAATAAATTTTCATACCCCTTTGGCAGTCCTTAGCTGTCCGTCAGGTGTTTTAAAGTAATCCCAGTCTATTTCTCTGGTGACCTGAGAGGAGGAAGGAGGAACAGCCGACACAGCGGTCATTTCGTAGCTGAAAGCGATTGTTACTCTTCCCAAGTAACACCATTCCTTTCCTCATTCGAGAGGTTGCCAAGAAAATGGGTTGCCCATTTGGCGGGGAAATTTAACTTTAGGGAGATCATTAAAACTTAAAACAATTAGAAAATATATCACAGGGTCATTCCAAGCACGCAAAGAAATATATTTACATCGTTGGCGGGGGGTGAATATATTGCCCCCTTAATAATTTTAATCTTCCAAAATCCGTCAATATTTCGCACAAATACCGAAAAATTTTCACGAATTATCATCGATTTAAATTCGATGCTAAAAACGAGGAAGAGATAAAAATAATTCCTCTTTTTTCCGATATAAGAATTTTTCTTCTTCTCGATTGTGTGAAATTTAGAGGACTATTGTGACTGTGAATTTTATTTCCGTCCCCATTTATATTGGACGCCCACCATCCATGTCTGAAGTGTTAACAAAGAGTGGATAAAAGAAATAAATAAATAAAAAAAAAAAGGATAATGAACATTATGGATTAAAAAACGGCAACTCACTAGAAATTTTTTATTATTAATAATAAATTATACACTTAGTAGAGTTTCGATAATTCGATGTGGACAGACGGGACCGAAACTGCTTCGAACTTTTGAAAACTTAAATTTAATAAATATTTAAATAATAGGAAACAAAACAATTTTTAAATTTTAATATGTAATTGAAATATGTATTATAATTTAAAGAAAATTTACCTATATTAGAGGANCGTTACTTTTTAAAATAAGAACTTTTTACTTTTTACTCGTTACTTTTTTTAAAAATACTTGTACTTTTACTCGTTACTTTTTAAAAGTAACGTTGCCATATATGCTCCCCCCCCCCTCAACTCGGTTTTATGGGAAACTCGAACAACCAAGATTCTAGGCACTCTACATAATTCTACTGTATTTCCTCTTTTTTTTCTTTTCTTCTTTTCATTTTTGTGTAAAAGAGAGGTTGTTTCTTTTAATATCAAAGATACTTTTTCTTTCTTTTGAAAATTTATAGTTGCAATATTGTTTTGAGGGATATTAGAAATGTTTAGATAAAGGGTATTTACCAAAAATTGGGAATGGGGTTTTGAAGATCTTTTTCGGAGGGATATATTTTTGCAAACATTCTATTATATCGTCATTGCATACAACTTCTCAGGAAATCGCTTTCTTATCACAGGAAAGAAAAAGCAGCTTTGTAACCAGAGTTTTTGCTGAACGGGAACGCAGAGTAATGCTGCTTTTAAAAATATTTATTGTATTCCTACTGAAATTGCTAAAATTATAATGTAAGCTCCGTAGATAAATAAAAAAGAAATCATCAAATTATGATTAAATCATGATTTTTAATCAAGTTGAGCTACGATTACAGAAGCCTACGTTTCTCAAACTACCAATATACATTATTTCCACAGACAAAAAGTCACAGCTTCAGATCAATGGGTACAAGTTTGTCGGCAGAGTAAAAGCGGTAGGTGCGCAATACTGATCACACTGCAATCATCATGTTGTTGGGCACGAAATCACGGAGTGTTAATCTACTTGAAACTCCTCTCTCGCAATGTAATGTAATGCTGGAATACTTTACTTTTATTGCTGATAAAAAGTCATACCATAATAAAAAAAGCTATGCTATTTAACATTTGAAAATATTTCTGCAATGAGATAATAATAGATGAGTATTGTTTTCAAACATAACTGAAAAATTGTTATGAGAACAAAAGCTTATACCTCGTATGTTTCTTTTTTTCGCCGAAATAGAGAGAATTTTTTTGTATTAGGGTAAATGTCTCCCTCAGCCTCTAGGGGTGAACCCTTGATACACTTAGTCACTAACAATAGTAGAGCTTGCTAATTGTGCGATTAGTATATCTCTGCAATTAATTTATTTGATAAACGAATTTTCACTCTTTTCAATTTCCCTAGAGATTGAAAAAAAGTTAAAAATTATATACGAGGTGTGACAATTAATATAACCGGACTGCGCATGCCCTAGCTGTTAGGCTTGATGTGGAGGTGGGGAAATAGAATGTAGGATGCTTTCAGAGCAGGTGGCAAGTTATTTCGTCCCTCTATCTATTTCTTTCTTTCTTTTTTACTTATGTTTGACATGACGTTGTGCCGCGATTATGAATCATGATAAGCGTAAGAAACAAGAAGCGCGTTCATTTAAAGTTTCGTGTTAAAAAAAAAAAAAAAAAAAATTCACATTGAATGTTTTAGATTGTTAAAGGAGGGGGCTTAGCTCCGGTAACTTCAAGAGTTAATGAAAAATGTAAAAAAAAAATGAGTGAAATCCTGTGTGAAAACCAACATTTGAGTTTTCGAATGATGACAGACATGGCGAATATTGAAAGAGAGACAATAAGAAAAATGTTGATCGAAGAGTTGCGTATAACGATTTGCACAAAAGTGGTACCAAAAAACTTGACATGCCCGGAGCAAGATACTCTGTCTGTGAAACAGTTCTTGGTGGACAACCATATTAATATGCTCGAGCATCCGCCGTACTCACCAGATCTCGCACCATGCGACATCTTCCTATTTCCAAAAGTGAAAAGTGCATTGAAGTGAACACATTTTCAGTCTGTAGAAGAGGTAAAGGCAAAAGCGGCAGACTCTCTGAAGAAGATGACCGCTAAATGACCTCCATCACTACTTTGAACAACGGAAAACTCGTAGTCACCCTTTGTATTGATAAGGAAGGGGAGTATGTTGTAGAGGACTGAAAGATATCGCTTTTTTATCAGCTAATTTAATAATATATTTGCGTAAAATCAAATTCTTTAGAACATAAAATTAATTAAAAACTGAAAAAAACTAAATTGATAGTTTTCAACAAAAAAAGAAATAAAAAAAATTCCTTTTTATCAAAAAAATAAATAAATAGACACATAAAAAATTTTGAAATTTAGAAAAAATTAAACATGGGGAAGAAGAGGTGTTGTCTTTTTAACACATCATATGATACAAAAAGTGCATTTTTAAATAAATTAACTGTAATGTTCTTGAATGAAAATATAAAATAAAAAAAGATAAATATTTTATTGAGCAAAATAAATGCAAATTAAATATTTTAATTTAAAAAAATTATATGGTGTCTAAAATGATGTAAAATAAAACAAACGCATTATAGCTCAAAATTAGCTTCAACATTCAATTGTAATTAGGTTTAGTATATTTTTAGCATTAGGACATTTATATTTAGTGAATTATAAGAGATTTTATGAATGCTAAATTTCAAAGCGTGTTATGAATGTTATTTATTTATTTTTGGAGTGTTAAATTTTAAAGTTTACTTATTTTCTTATCCCCGTGTCAATCTGCTCTAGTCCTAGAGAACCTTCCGAATAACTATAATTTTCTGTAAAACTAATCTTTTATCCGCCATTTCTAATAAAGAGAAAATATTCCCCAAGTTCCCTCTTCCCTAATATTATTAAAATTATAGACATTTCTATTTTAATAATCGTTTTTTTTTAAAAAAATTTAGTTATTACTCTTAAATTTTTACATCCAAAGTTTCCTCAAAGGTGATTCCGTATTCAGATTTATTTTGTTATGGTGAATGTCCAGTATTTTTCAGTTCGATAAGAATGATTTTACTTGAAAATTCAATTATTTTTTATAACATTTTATTGCTCAAAGTTTCAATCGACCAAAAAAAAAATATAATAATACACTGGTGTGCAAAACTTAAGCAACAAGTGCGTTTTTTGTCATAACTCTACAAGAATAATTTATATTTCGTTATTAA